CAGGATTTGTATCAGTGTTGGCGCTGTTCATTATAAATTTACGTAATAAACTACTTTGATATCCTGAGCATAATGAAAAAACCCTTATTGTTTAGCTTGCATGAATGTAAAAGATTGACAGCAATACAACATAAAATATTCTGGGAGACTTAAAGGGTAGTGAAATAGAGAAATACAAGGCTTTATAGTGTAATCTTTTAGCCATTTGCTCGTCTGAGGCAGTTTACTAAGGAATTCCCAGAGGACTTGGTTGTGATTTTTACAATGACATTACTCAGCCACGTTACTTCAGAAGCTGAGATTTCTACCATTGAAATCACAGCTCCAGAAAGGGTCTGGAATGAATGGAGTGTGCCAGTTTGCACTATTTTACTGCTAACCTTGAACCACTGGGCAGTTTGGATCCCCACACAGACCTCCCATTCAAGGCCAGGCCAGCCAAGGATCCAGTTTTGAAATTAAAAGATTAATCTCAACTCACTTTCCTTTTTTTCCCTCCTAATTCCAAAGAAAAGCTTGGAAACATGACCACAGCGTAGGGTGGAGGCACAAAAGCTGGAAGCGAGGCACTACAGACAAAACCAAGAAGATAAACTCCTTGATTTTGGAGGCTGGCAATACCATGTAGTCCCAGGCAGGTGGTACCTCAGCCCGCTCCTCTGGGAATCTTTGCAGCTCACCCTTGAGAAGGCTCATTGGAGCATCCCGGAGGTGCCTGGTGCCTCATGTGCAGAAGAGGGTTGCTTTGCACAAGAGCATGCTAATACAAGATGTTACAATAACTTTTCATTTCAAGATACCTTTTTCAGAAGATAGATTTTGATGTAACTGCATCTTAGTGAAGTCCTAAAGAGGTGAAAGTTGTATCTTAGTGCTTTTACGTAACTGCCCCGTGAAGCTGTGCTGCAGAGCAGGTGATGGAGCTGTAACATAATTGATGAGTAAAGCTTGCTGGGCAGTTGTGGTCTCCATGTGTGATTCTCAGTTGTATGAAGCTGTAAAAGGAAATCGTGTTTCTAAGTACACAATAGGCCTGTCCCTATTACTATTAGGTGACTGTCAGTTCTTGTTTGCTTCAGTTATATTGAATTTCTACCAACCAACTCATTTGTTTAAGGGGAGACGTTTTACATTAAAAGAGTAAGAGGCAGCCAAAGTTCTTACAGAGAACAGGGTGGGAGTCTTTCTCGAGGAGTGTGGTTTGCCTGCAGGGATGAAGAAGCCTGCTTCTGCTTGTGCAAAGAGTTTTGTGCTGAACGGAAATGCAGCGGCCTCCTGAAGTGAAATGAAAAATAGTAGGAGCTGAGAGATCCTCCATTTTAAAGCCAAGCAAATAATTTTGGTTGAATTTTTAAAATTCTTTTATTTCTTTTTTAAACTCATCTTATAAGGGGTTTGTAAATGGTTTTGAGCAAAGATTTTGCTCATGTAAATAATAAAATTGGAATTCATCAGAGACATTTTTCTAAGGGGCAGACTTGCAATATCTGGCATACTTCTCAGGCCTTTTTTTTTTTGTTTTTTGCTTTTATTAAAAAAGGGGTGGAGGAATATGTTATTAATGAACCTAAGATTGAAGCCTGCAAATATTCTAGTTATTTTGGTGAGGACTCCAAAAATATACCTGTCACAACAGAGCAGTTAAAACTAATAGGATGTAATAGTATATACTAAATAAATCAGGAGAAGTTAAGTACAGGAAGAGCACTGCAGAGGATCAGTGTACACATTTTCAGTGCTCTGCTGGCGTTGTGGTGTCCTGGTCCACTCTACCCAGTTGCAATGATGTGATGGTGGGCATGGTAATGATCAGGTCCCTTCATCATGCAGTATCCAATCTTGATCCCACTCAGGGAAGGTAAGCCTTCTGCTCAGGCGCAGAAAAATATGATTGTGTCCCTTTTTGAATCCTTCATAATAGGTATTTGAGTATAAATAAAGTGATGTATAATGAGAGCACAGTATGTTGTTGTTTGCAAGAGCACTTTCATGTGGGTGGTGTTAATTTGAAAAGTTTCACTCTGGAGAGCTAAGTAATATTTAGTATCTTGTGATTGATAGGTACCTAAAAATATGGAGAACATACTTGAACAAATGGAGCATTGATCTGCCCTTTTTTTTTTTCTCTAAATAGCTTAAGGTTATTGATTTTTTTTTTTAACCAGTAGGATTTTTTATGCCATGCCAGTGATGCTTAGCTTCCATAAAAGAGTCTCAGTACAGACCATAGAAACAAATGGTTGGAATTTGAAGTATTATAAACTATGTTTAAAAAAAAAAATGCAGATTTGAATAAGAGCCAGAACAGACTTAATTTTTCTAAAAATTCCCTGCTTGTAGCCTGGTGGAGCAACTGCAGCTGGGTGTATACCAGGCTGGTTACAGTGTGCAGAAAATCAGAAATCTGGGCTGTCCTGTGTTTTGGGGGGGCACAGTCTACATTTCAGAAATGAGAAGTTCCTCTGTAGCTCTTTGTGAAGGAGTGACCTCCCATCTCAGCCGTCCTGTTGGGATGAACAAGCTTGCATGTGCCTCTTCTCTCAGAGCTGTTGGTACTGAGTTTACAGTTCATGTGTTCAGGGACATGACCTTACCAGCAAAAGAACGGGCTCTGACGCTTTGGTGGGTTGGTTATGCAATCTGACCCCTCCTTTTACTTCAGAAAAGACAATATGTGTTGAATATTTCTATCTAGACAACTAATAGCTGCCTGCTTTTGATTTTTCTCTCTTCTGAGGAGCCTTTAGGCTTAGTGTCCTCTACAAAACCCAGGGCAGGGTAGCCCTGCTCTCTTGCTTCTCTGAATCTTGTAACCTTTCTGTCTCTGTCTTAAGACAGCTTGCTGCTGACATCGCTCCTTACTGTCTTCATTGCTTCCCCTTTTCTTTGCTCTTCTCCACTCCCTTCTGCCTTTAGATTATTGCTGATCTGCATCAAGCAGCAGGAAGATAACGTGTTCAGTAATTTAGGTGCAACCTATTCTTGCCAGCAACCTCACTTGAAAAATGTAGTTTTCACGGCTACCAGCCATGGCATTCACCAAAAGCTTTCTATTTGAATAAATATTGTCAAAGCTTTATGCCCTCATCGTTCTAAGGTATTTGCAGGAATACTTTTTTTTAATGTAGGTTTTATTTTTGTATGAAGACAAAAAGCAGCAAAGACAAGCTCAGAGAAGAATTCAGGGTACTGAACTGAGGATGCTTCCCTTGCACACCCATGTCCAAACTGGCTATGCACTAATCAGGAAGCAAGGAGCATCTGCCTTCTTAATTGGAGTGTTTCAAAGTTTTATGCTGTCTGTGCAATTTCAAATTATGGCAGTGATCCTGCAACACTGAGGTCAGTGAAATTACTGATATGCATAGTTATTCATGAGACAAGCCCTTGCAGACTGTATTTAAGTGGTCTGGGGAATCACACAGAATAAAAATCAAGTTGAAACTGTATGGGATTTTTCTCTTATCTTTTACTAGAATTCGTATTTTTAAACAATTTTGCTGACTCTTTAATATTTATGAGGAGCCCTGATCTTTTATTATACATATTCAATTATTCATCTAACTTAACAGATGACGAGAAGCTGAGAGGGTTTTTTTTAATCTAAAGGGTGTCTTCAGTTTTCTCTCTTCTTATATTTTACATTTTAAAAGAAAATATATAAATTGTGACTCAGAAAATCATCAGAACAGCATTTAAATACTTAAATATGGCTATGTCCTCAAGCTCCCAAAAATAAAGTGTAAGCTCATGCCTAAGTAAGAATTGTTCTCCTAAATTAGGGAAAAAGAAGGGAGAAATATAATTCATGTTCTTAGATCAGGCAAATTCCAAGTTGAATTTATCCTATGAACTTCTCAATCCAAAAAGGCTTTAGTTTGTTCTTTATCTCCCAGCATTTGTAGTCCATCAGTGTTCCATAGCATCAATGTCCGTTCTTCAGTTTTGACCATGGGAGAGTGTAAGCAACTTTCCTTTCTTTCTTCCAGTTAGGCCTGTTCTCCTGATGCTGTGTATCGACATAAAATATGCAGTCAGTATTTTAACACTGTGAAAATACAGTATTATCACAGACCTTCTCAAGCTCCCTTTTTCTCCTTTCCTCTTTTTTTGTATACCACCTATTAAACTGAAGATGTTTGTCATTAACTACCAGGAGGAGGCATGAGTTTATCTTCTCATCTCTAAATTGCAGGTACCTATGCAGCATTTTGCTTTTGTGCAGAGCCTCATCACAGCTGGTTTTACTCTTTCCTTTTCCTTGGACTTGCATGTACTTGAAATTGATACTTAATTTCTTTTTTGAAGCAGGAATTTTCATATTGACTTTTAAAAAAAATCTTCATGAAGTGTGTAGTACAAGGATAAGGCGTTGCATAACCATGAAATAACCTCAAATCCAGCCGGTGGTGCAGGCTGGGGGTGAGGGAAGGAAGATCTGCACAAGTTCCAGCAAATATAAAGATGGAAATACCATGCATATCTGTCATTTCATCCAAAGGAAGCCTTTTGAAATAAGCTTGAATGTTGCAAAATCCTTTGCACATTACTACACTTACTGTACAGGTGAAGGTGAGCCAAGGCTGCCTTATAGCAGTTAGTGTTAGGTGGTGCCTGGTCTGCGATGATTTCCCAGATGGGAAACGTTGAGAAGAAGAAATGCTCATTCTTGGATTCAGCTGCAGAAGGTTCTTCATCTGAAAGCAGCAAGGAGAAAACTCAGGAAGCAAAACTATTGACACAGTGGAAAAAATGGTCTTAAACTGTTTGTAGTACACATGGAGCTTAATGTGATACCATATTTACCATTCATCCTTAAGAGAACTTACATGCTTTTACAAAGTTTTGGTAACTAGTTGTAAGCTTTTTGGTTTCATTCCTAACTTTGTAAAAGCTCTGAACCTCTGTAGGGAGTAATTTGAAAACATTCAGATGAAAGATGGATACCTGTGCCTGTGTGGAAACATCTGATAAGATTCACCCATTTTTTTTCCTACCAGGTTTGGAGGAGACCAGCCGGTGTACATCAATATCATTAGAGATCCTGTCAATCGGTTTTTATCCAATTATTTTTTTCGACGTTTTGGAGACTGGAGAGGAGAACAGAATCACATGATCCGTACCCCCAGCATGAGGCAGGAGGAAAGATACCTGGTATGTTTAAATAAAAGGCTCTGATTACCAATTTCGCAGATCGTCACACAATGTTGATGTTCAAACTGTGTGCTTGAAAAGTGGGAGACTGAGGCATCTTCCATCTTGCATTTTTTCATCTGTCTTTGTCTTGCCTGCTACTTAGTTTGGTCAGCTTTAGTGTGTAGAGTGTTGCTGATGGATTCAGTGATCCAGTTTGATCTTGCATAAGCTGACAGCAAGTCCCAGACTGCTACCGTTGAATTATGGTCCTTTCACTGAGTTGGATTTGCACTGTATAGTGGTTAGGCATAATAATTCTGCCTATATTTATCACTGTGAATATTCAGACAGATTTTTAGGTTGAAACTATGTCTGTAACTGTGCAGCCTCAGAGGAAAATTGGGAAACAGAGCAATTCAGTGAGCCCAAGCCTCTAACATTCTTGCTGGTAAGTTGTGCGTAGTGTTCTTTATGCCAGGGCTCTGATCACAATTCTTGGTTTGGTTTTGTTGCCTTTTTTGTATTAAGAAGGTGGCAATAATGCTGGATAAGCTGTTCATAATAAGTTCTAATTTTGTGCAACTGCTGAACTGTCATAATGCCTGTCAGTCTTTGTCACAGACCAAGGTGCCATGACAGTAGGTGTTCTACAAATGCTGAATGAGAAACACAGAAGCTGGGGAGGTGGTCAGTTTGTTTGATACTGATCTCTGTGCATGCACACTGACACCTCCCTAAGAAGACAAAATGGTGGAATTAGTTCTTACCCTCTCTATAATGGAGATCCAGTTTGATTTGACTCAGCCTTCAGCCACACTTGAACCTGCAGAGGGTTCAATGACACAGCGTGACAGGACAGCTTGGTGGTCTGCTGTGAGATGTTGCAGGCCAGACGTAAGGTCAAAACAAGAGAAGGCTGTGGGTTTTGGAGAACAAAGAGGATGTTTCGATGATGTTTTGGAGCAGCAGTAGAGTACAAGACGTGGCACAGGTGAGCCATAGACAACACGGCTCTGAATGACTGCCACGCAACACGTTTCGGTCCTAGCTGAGGTCACATGAATCCAAGGAGGGCTGAGGTTTTTTCTGTGTGTCAGGGCTATGTTGATGTCTTTTGAGCTTTGCTACTGTTGTTTGCCATGCAAAGCCCTGTGAACAGGTAAGCTTATAAATTATGAATAATTGAAGGGGGGGTGGGTTATCAGTGTAATTGTGTGTAGCTTTAAACTTTAATGACATCTGCTATACAGATATGAACTCATTTCAATAGTGTTGCAAAGGGTTTCTCGTTTGCTATATGTCTAGAGATACCAAAGAGGTCCCTGCATCAGCTGTGCAGGTTTTGACCTCCTGGTGTGCAGAGTTGGAAGGCAGTCCCAACAGCTTTGCATGCTGTGTGCTGTGTGCATGGACTTCGGTTTCCTTGTCTCTGAATGGGACGGGGGGGTTGCAGAAATGCGTGCAGGGTGGGTTTTCTACTACATTATTATTTTGTTAGCACTGTCATGGTTTCTTTTTTGAAAATCTTAAAAATGAGCGGTACAGTCTGTACTTTGCTCTGAGTGCCTCTGCTTCTCACTTGAAGTGGAACATGCAGTGGTTGGCACGTCTCGTGACTGACTGATGCTGTAAAAGCTGGTGTTAATTCAGTACCGCCTGTGCAGTTTAAAATGCGATATGTACAGCCACTGAAATTTTACTTCAAGCGGAACTGAAATGAATAGATCTAATTCCTGTCGGTTGTGTTGGTTTGAAAGCCAATAGAAAGAAATCACCTTGCATTTTCATTTTCATTGGGGTGTTCTTTAAGAAATTAATTATTTATATGCACACGGACATATGTGTACATACACAGATCAGTACAAAAACTATAATGAAAAGGAAATAAAAAGAGGCCATCTGAGGTCAGTAGTCATTTTGTTCAAAAGGCAGTTTGCCAATCTGAGACACTATCAGCATCCTTTATAAAAACTATTTTTGCTTTTTTCATTTTGATCTTCTCTGTCTGTAATTCAGTGTTAGAATCCTGGAAATGTTTTTGGAATCTGTTCTCCATCCCTCCTTGGCAGACATTGGCTGTCACTTGCACTACTCAAAGAGGGCAGTTGCTACTGTCACAGTAATGTATAGGCCACCCACCAGTGAAGTTCGTTTTAACAAAAGCCACTCACTCATTCCGCATGTTAAGCATTTTTAAGACTTGTGCTATCCAACCACATAATATACTGCATGACTGCATTTTAATTTTTTCCTCAGTAGTGCAAGGAGATCTGCTGGCATATTTTTTAAAACTCAGGTAATGGATTTTGTGGAATGGTAGCTTCGGAAGTCTGCTAAATCAATTGCCTGATCTAGCTGTGAAGAAAGTAAGCAGCTGGTTTTACCTCTGAGCATGAGCCAGTGCAGCCCTTTAGCACAGGACTGATGGCTGGCCTGATTGCTGACCTCATACCTTCTGCAATTCTTCCCTAATTTTTTTTTTCCTTTTTTTTTTTTTAACTGAAGACTTACCATAAAGCATTGCTTTTTTACAGGGGACTATTTGAAGGATAAGCTTAGATTTAGCATATTAAATAGTTTCTATATTGATAACAGTATTAAACCCAAGTCATTTGAGATGAGGTGTGCCTGACTGTGAGCAGATACGTGAAAGTGGGGGGAGGATACGAGAAGCTTTTACTTTCCTTCTTCCATCATGCCTCAAATCAACAACTAGGCAAATACAAAACTGCTGATTGCTCCACAACGTTGAGCTTATTGCTGAAGAGCCTGAGAAGCCTTCTGTTGACAGCAGTTACAGACTTACAAAATGGACTGGAGAAGCTCTCAATGTAACTCCTCTGTTTTACCAGGAGAGACAGGTTTGCCTGCGGAAAGATGTACATCTTTTCAAACTGGGGTATTAGGGGCTAATTGTGCTTTTCTCAACCATGGTGTTCCTGGCTTCCCATCTCTCGAAAGGTGTTGTGGGCAACTGGGAATCTTTCCAGGACATCCTGGCATCTTGGTCAATAGCTGCCAACACTGGCCTTCTCCCTTGAAGAGCTGAGGCCAGCATACATTTTCTCTCAAACTGCATTGTGAAAGTGTGGGAGCTCAGCATCTCTATAAAGCCGGCTCTTAAGGGAGGAAAAGCATTTTAAGATCAGGTTTTGTTTCTGATGAACACCTGCTTGGCTATTGGGCTGTGATATCATTAATGGAGGCATTCCCTCCCCTCAATTCTGATCCTTAAGAAAAAAAGGGGGTCAGGGGAAAAAAAAAAAAGCCACAACCTTGAAGTCTTGTAATACCTTGGGTGCTGGTTTTTTGACTTTGAAAATCTGAACTGCTGACATTGCAAAGATCAGAAACAGAAATTGCCACTGTTCACTGATCATTTTAAATTTTCTCTGAATAGAGCTTCAGGCTTTGACTCTGTTCCAGAGAAAACAACCATTCATTCAGGAGTCAGATAAATTATTTTGAACGTTTCGGTAGATGTCTGTGTTTACCAAAATTTAATTGAAAGCCAGGATAGAAAACAAGTCCTTTATTCATGAGTCAGATACGGCAGAGGCAGCTGCTGCAATGTGAGACTTTCCATCCAGATCAGCCAGCTCCTTGCCCTGACCTGGTGCTTTCTCTGCTAGAGTGAGTTACTGTCAGTCATCTACAGAGATCACTTCCAAGCTTCCCCAAAATAAATAGTGGCAACGTGTTAGTGTGGAATATGGCAGAGAGGTAACGGTCTGAAATGGTGGTGAGCACCTCAGGTCAAGTCTCAAACACGCTTATGCAAGAGCTGCCCTAACTTATGGTCCTGTAAGATGAGATAAATTCACAAAAATTAATTTAAATCCATGATAATGAATGTGTTTCAGGTTGAACTAGAGTTCTTAGAGTAAATACACCTCAATAAAGCAAGCAGCCCCTTATCAGGGCAGCTGTGAGTGCTGCTAGTAACAAGCAAAAGAAAAATACGGAACCAGATGATTTAGTTTAAGGCTTGAAGCTGCAGAAGGTAGGAAGCACTCCTGATAAAGAGAGGGACTACAATAAATATTGAAAGCTTTGTATTAAAATTGTCCTTTCCAGAAGGTTTGTTAGTAATTACCTAGTATTTATTACAAGTGCAGCATGAGACATCAAATATAAAAGGTATGTATGGGGTTTTTATCTTTCCTTAATACTTGCTAAACTTTAATCTAAGACGGCTAAGGCTGAATGAGCCTGTGAAGTGGTGTGGGCTGTGTATTGTTGCCTGAATTGCAAATTTGGGAAGTCTGGTTATATGCAATTCTGATCTCTGCTAGGCTCACAAATAGCATGGCTCCTAACTCACTGAAGTATAAGATCTAAACATCTTTGAGCTAATTTGTTGGAAGAGAGAGGTTTTGTATAAAAAAGATCGTTCAGTAAATTAAGAACTTGTCACCTTCCTATAGGACGTTTCAGATTTTCGTTATAGTTAGTAGTTAAGTTTGCAGCACATCTCTGTCAGGCTCAGCATAGTCTTTCAACTTCATCTCTGAAAATACATATGCTTTTGTCAGCTAAAAATAAAAATATTCTAACAATATTCAGCTTCAGTTATGCTAAAGATTACTCATGCAAGTAATCCCATAAAGGAGAAACTGTCTTTTTGTCATTTAAATTAGATGTTAAAATATTTGTAAAAAGTGTGTTAGGATTACTGCAAAGGAGGGAAGTAAAATTCAAAGGACATCAGGGAACTTTCAAGTCAAATTTCTTATAATAGGGACCTCTCCTGTGACAAAGATTGGCTTTTCTTGCTAAATATTTAAACTAATGTTGTTTAGGTTATTTCATAAAGTTGAAACAAAATTAGAGAAAAAGCTGAACGGTTGAACTCCATAGAACAATGCTTTGTATTCCTGAATTTTGAGAATTTCCTTTTATGACTACATTGTTTTTCATTAAGATAAGCATATTCGCTAAATACATTTAACCAATTTTATTATTTACATCCCCAAATTTCTATCTACAATGAAAAATATTCTTTTACCAATTGCACT